TAGTTTTGTTAGGGGTTAGTATGTATACTCGACACATTTCTGAAGAAATCACGAGGGAATCATATCTGGGCTATAATTGTTCTAATATATTTAACTGATATAAGACATCTGCTTCGGAAATGGTAGGTGCATTAATAAAAGAAATCGGACATAACTTGTGCTGATTCGGAACATTTTTTGGAGATTTTTGAGAGTAATTGGACCTAAAGAATTCAGCGAGCATATTAGAAATGGTGTGATTGTCACTGGACATACTAGACTTATATTTCATAGCAGACGGAAAAGTAGAAATCCTGCGTTTCATAGAACAATTTTGGATTACGTATAATATTATTTTTGACTTTATTTATATAATTATTATAACATATTTTGTTAAGTTCAGCAAATTGTCGGCGCAATTTAGAATATTTTGAATGGTCAGCAACTGAACCAGTTTTTTTAAAAAGTTTAAAAGCACGAGATTTTCTATTTTTTAATTTACATAATTCTTTCGAAAACCATAAATTAGAACTCATTTTATGAGTAACAACACATTTCGGAACATATTTTTCAAACATGTTTAAAATAGTTTCATTAAAGTGAGAAGCACTAAATTCAATGTTGCCATTTTAATCTGGCCAAGTAACTATAGAAAGTTCGTGATTAATTTTCTTTAAATTAGCTTTCACTAAGTTGAAGCGAAAACAAAGATTTTGTGTATATTATTATTATGGTWTCKATGATAATTTCCAAAGCAGAATGATACGAGTCTTCTGGCCGAACCAAAGGATCACATCGGACAACAGAGAATATTGAAGCGTTATCAACATAGACTAGATCTAAGAACTTACCAAACTCGTTCGAAATTAAATTAATTTGGTTAAGACCCAACTCCGACATTTTATCTAAGAACTCGTTAAAACATAAGCGAGTACTACTAGGCATGGTGTAGTCATCAACAGATTTCCATGATACGCACGGTAAATTGAAATCCCCCAAAACAAGCATGGAATCAGTATTATTAGCCATTGAGAAAACATTATTTATTAATGAAGCATACTGCATATAAACAGATATGTCCGAGTGAGGCGGCATATAAGATAAAGTTAAGTAGATATAGCCACTATTAGCGCAAGTACGAATGCACTTAAATTCTATRAAGTCTGCATGCGGAACATCGACTTCCGCAGATGGAATTGAAGAATGAACAGCAAACAAGACGCCACCTTCTTTTCTGTTCAGCCGGTCATATCTATAGATTTCGAATTCACTGTTGAGTATTTCATTATCAAAAATGTGGGGCTTTAGCCAAGTCTCTGTGAAAGCAATGATTTTAAAGTTACAATGTTTAAATACACATCAGAAAGTTCTGTATTAAGGCCCATTACATTTTGATAATAAATAATCAGCGAATTATTGCTAATCAGTTTTTTGTATCAACGGCTTTTCTTAGCATTTTACTGACAACTGCAGGGGGCTTATCACGTTTGTGCTCGAATTCGCCCACAAAGACCCCAGATGGCCAGAATGAGTTGTCAAGTATTAATTGAAAACTGTCAGCGGATACGTCAATCTTAAACGACGAAATATCCCGGTTGTACTCTAAATTAAATTTACGGACGTCTGTATCTGTCGTTCTTAATTTCGACGAGACGTAACTTTTTATATCATCGACTGAGTTATCCGGAGAAAATCTCGAGACAAAAATTGCCTTTTTCCGCGGTATGACAAAACTTCTTGCAAATGAATACATATGGAAGCAATCGTATTATATTAAAGTTTCTAATAAGTTCCGAATTAAAGGAAGATTTTAAAAGATTACATTTATCGAAAGAATAAAGACGCATTTGAGTGTTAAATTCTTCTTCTTCTTGATTGGCGTAGTGACCGSTTACGCGATTATAGCCGAGTTAACAACCGCGCGCCAGTCGTTTTTTCTTTGCGCTACGTGGCGCCAATGAGATATTAGAAGTAAAGCCAGGTCCTTCTCCACTTGGTCCTTCCAACGGAGTGGAGGTCTTCCTCTTCCTCTGCTTCCCCCGGCGGATACTGCGTCGAATACTTTCAGAGCTGGAGTGTTTTCGTCCATTCGGACTACATGACCTAGCCACTGTCTTTTAATTCGCTGAACTATGTCAATGTCGTCATATATCTCACACAGCTCATCGTTCCATCGAATGCTTCGTCCAAGCCTCTGCACCATATAGCAGGACGGTAATTATGAGTCACTTATAGAGTTTGGTTTTCCAAGGTTTTTTTGATTTTCCTATTACAAGAGGCTTTAATTTCATTGTTCCCGTTGCATTTSAGCAGGCAAGAATTGTAACTCGTTCCTTGGATATCTTTCGGCCAGGTGCTCTGTCTTCATTAGCGTGAACTAAAGTTTGGTTCGGCAACATCTTCCAGTAAAGTCCAGTTTCATCAGCGTTGACTCTGCATCAAGACTTATTTTCATTTCATTTAATTTTTCTTTTAACGGTGCAACTAAATCAGCTTGAGAGACAGTTTTTTGCCAGATTCTTTTAAAATTCGGATCCCAAACCGTTTTTTAAATTTTCAAAATCAACCATTACTTGCCTTAAAATTCTTGTATCATGGATCTGCACAGCTTTGGCTTTTGAAATATTGCTGTTAAGAGGTACGTGGTTTCACGCTGGGAGACAAACCACTTATGTAAAGCCTTTTCCATCCTATGATATTTGCTTTTCTCTAACGATTGTCGTCTGAATGTGCCAGCATGTGTACCTTTAATACTTCTTATCACTTTCCTGCAATTTTTTAAAATTGTCCAAACACTCGATTTTCGAATACCATATTTCAAAGAGATTTCTTTCAGGGTTTTCTCCTTTTTATTGTCGTCAATTATTTTTAATTTGTCACCCAAGCAAAGCCTTTTTCGAATTGAAGTCCTTTTGAAATAATTTATGCGATATCCTCACTTTACCACTTTGAACTCACAACTGATATTTCGCGCAATGAAGCGTGCATAAAAAAATAAATAGAATTCTATAAAAAAAAAGAGCTCAATAATAACAAGAACTAACGGGTATTTAACTGCCTGCATTGTTTTTTGTTATAATACAACCAAAACCAAATACAAACGCCATACATTCGTAATATCGAGTTCATCTAATTTCCAGCTTTCGTTATGAAGAGTCATTAATGTATTGAAAAACAGCGTTCGTTATATCGGCGTTCGTTATACTGGAGCACCACTGTAGTTTGAAAAAAGGCAATATAGATGAAACAAAAATTCAGTCCTACACTGAAAAAAGTTTTATGGAAATAGTTAAGTTTTTATCAAATAAAAACGATAATTATTATTCGTATCAACTGAAAAGTTCTAAGGCCCTAAATGTGGTAATTAAAGGTATAGAGTCCGACGTAGACTCTAGTGAAATCAAAGAAGTATGGGAAGAATGCGGTTTTGGTACTAAAACTGTTGTAAATATATTTAAAACAAACAAAGTACCACAGCCAATGTTTAAAATTGAATTGTTATTAGGTATTGAAACTATTATTATAAATCTTACACAGTGTATGACACAATTTATGTTGTTTAGAAATCGTTTATACCACTATCCTCTAGAATCTTATGCTACACCACACTTACAAGCTACAACAATATCACTAAAAAATCGGGGTAGTGAGTTACGGCTATATACTGTCCCCCTCGTTTTAAAATTACAGATAGCGAGTTTAAAGACTTTTTTGGAACACTAGGTCAAAGGTGGTGGAGCAGGTGGAGATTACAAAAGCTTTTCCTACATCACATAAAACCAGCTGGTTGAAGTATACAAAATATATCAGCGACCACATCAATATTGATTGCATAATAAATACAGGAAGAGACATTGATGCAAGTATAAGAGAATTTAATGATGTAATAACTAATTCATCTGTATTGGCAACATCAAAAAGAAACAATAAACCAGTTGCTTTTAGAAAGATCACCAATCATGGAATATAGAAACTTATAAATGAGAAAATACCAGCTAGACGCGAATGACAGTTAAATCGCTCTCCTTCAATTCTGCTTCAACTGAAATCTGCTGTACGAAAGTTAAAAAAAAGCGCTTAAACGTGAGGAAGAGTTCTATACCAAAATGTATATAAAGAAGCTGTGTCCAAATTCAAAAAAACAAAATTCCCTTTGGGGTAACAATTGCCACATTTTAGCATCAAGAATATAGCGAAGCATTTAAGTTCTGTCGAAAAATGCCTGCCGAACTGGCATATAAATATGAATGAACAAAAGTGTAAGCATGTTACATTTTCGCTTAGACCAAAAATGAGCCCGGCAGTAAAAATAAACAATATTTTAGTACCCCAAGCGAACGAAGTACCATATCTTGGTATTCACCTAGATAGAAGGTTCACGTGGAGAAAACACATCTAGAGTAAAATAACATGTGCTTTTAAATAAAAACTCGAAGCTTAGCCTGGACAACAAAGTCCTTTATATAATGCGGTCATAAAGCCGATTTGGATGTATGAAATTCAACTGTGGGGTACGATCACTAATATTGATATAGTACAAAGATTCCAATCGAAAATGTTTTGAACAATTACTTAACGAAAATATCCATAAAGAGCTTGGTATTCCTATGGTAAAGAAAGAAGTAGAATATGGCAGAATTAAATATACATCTAAACTCCGAGATCACCCAAACCCTTTAGCTAATGCTTTAGTACAGAGATATGCCTGCGTATTAAAGTATCACCAAAACAGCTCAATTACTTGCTTGAGCTCATCCAGTTTTTAAATAGATTTAAGATTTTATAACTTATTGTTAGGCTTAAAAAAAGCAGAGTCAATTAATAAAATAATATTGAAAAAAAAATTAAAAATTTGCCTTAGTGACATTTTTTTAATTATCATGAACCCGGAGAATTTAATTACAATTTTCGGGTCACTTTTTATCTTACAGTATATGTGCGTATGACATTACTATACAAATAAAGCATACACAAACCTACATACTTGTATGCGCCATACGATATCGATGCAGTTCCAAAAGGCTACTTGTGATAGTTGGCGAACAGCAGGGCTTCACATTGGGTCCAATACTATGGAATGTATTATATGATGGAATATTACGCCTACCGCTGCCAAAAAAGACCCAAATTCAAAACATCTCCAATGCGACCATAACAAAAACTATTGGCTCACGGAAACTAAGCTGCAAATATTTTTCGGCGGTTGTCAAAAGTCTGCGCCGGTACTAAATGCATGCTCTTACATTATTATTCATAATTACGATGATTTGTAGGCAAAGATGTTCGGCAAAACTCGGTTTTTCTACTCTACAACAAAGAAAATGTTGTGATGCTTTGTCGTCGTCAGTCCTTCGACAGATTTTTTGGTTGTCCGTTGTCTGCATGGTCTTTTCAGATATTAACGAAAACCTTTTAATGGCCAAACCAAATAAATATTTAAATATTTTATTTATAAAACCTATATAATTAAATAATTAGGTAATAAACGAATCTGTAAGTATACATTGGAATTAGCATTATTTTTCCCATTTAACAATGAGAATGCTCAATTATGTTATTTTCGCGTCGCCTGATGTTAACGCTTATTCAAAATAGTACTCCTCCGAAAAATTTAAATATTTTGATAATGATTCCCTTTGTGAACCCTCTCTAGGTTATACGTTCTCTGGTATTACGTTTTGTGTGAATTTCTGGCAGCACTTGTGCGCGTAATTTCCATAAATAATCGTACAACACTATTTTTTCTGCACATCCGTAGAGTATCAGTATCAAAGAAGCGTTAAGTGCTAATGTACTCCTCGAACGCGCCCATATTTTACATAAATCTGTATATACATATATATATATATCATATTTTACATAAATCTGTATATACATATATATATATATCATATTTTACATAAATCTGTATATACATATATATATATATCATATTTTACATAAATCTGTATATACATATATATATATATCATATTTTACATAAATCTGTATATACATATATACATATATATATATCATATTTTACATAAAAATGTATGTATGCTTAACTCTATATCTTTCTCGATTAGTTTTACAGCAAGAATTACTGCATGCAATTTAGGAAAACCATAATGCCCCACCTTTTAACATCTATACATGAGACACGTACATATATCTTTTTACCTGAATAGTTGTCCGAAACAATTAGGTCCCATTTCGAAAGAATGATAGAAAATATTAGGTAGAATAATTTATGGGTTGCTAATTAATCGTGTTTAAACTTAGCGCTTTTAGCTCACAGTGAGCTGAGATGAACTTGAATTTGATTAAATAATATTTCAGAATGTGACGCGGTTTCCTATTACAAAACACACCTTTCATTGTGTACATAAATAGTTGTTTACTATACTATACTTGATATTCTATATTTTTTTAATATTTAAAATTTAATAAACAAACAACAACATGTTTAATATATCAGTTTTATACAACCAAAAGTGGTACAGTTGAAAAATTTGTTACCTGTTAACAACCTCCATTGAATGTAGTGTTATGTCCATTTGTACCAAAACATTAAAATATTCCGTTATTTCGACCGTTTTCATAAGCCTCAGCAAAATTTCTATTGATATAAGTGGATTATTTTCTACTAATTGGGGCAACTGAAAAATAAAGCAATAGTGTACATATTTATTGAATATCATTTTTACGCACTTAACTAAAAACAAAAGGTTTAACTAAGGCCTTGCAGCAATTTGATTCAGATGTGCGTAATAAGATATATAACCTGGATTTATAAGAACTTATCAATTATTATCTTACTAAATTTTTGTTCAAATTATTATATTATTTATTTAGTTACTTAAGTCTATGAACATTAATTTAGACTATTAGAAAATGAATAAATTAGAAGAATAAAATTACAAATAAAGAAATAGAGATAACTTAAAAACAGAATTAAGGGTGTTAATGAAGTAAACAGGAAATGCCGTTGATAAACCGCACTAAGAGAAGAGGACCTAAAACGTTTCCTTGTGACACCCCATTGACAATAAACACATAACGACTTTTGAGCAAATATGACTTAATCCACTGCAAAAGGCAGAGTGAAAACCAAAAGAGAATACTTTTTTAATTAGAATATTGGGCGAAACTTTATCAAAGGCTTTAGAAAAATCTATGTAAACACAATTTATTTGAAATCCAACGAAGAAGGCAGACATTCAATAATCACTAAAATTTTACACAGTAGAGCGACCATATGCAACCCCTGGTAATGGACGTTAACGATTGATTTAAAATAAAGTAACTCCAAAATCACTAAAAGCCGCTTAATTTGACGCAGTAGAGCGACTAGATGCAAACCCATGCTGGTTGGCGTTAATGATTTAAGGGGTTAGGGGTAGTCAGAATTTTCAAAAAATTAATTTCTTTTGAATTTTCGTTAAGTGTAATATCTTAAAAATATTCTCTGAAAATTTCACGTTGATCCGGTAATTAGTTTTTGAGTTATTCGACAAATAACAAAGAGAGCTCGGGCACTTCAAAGCGCTAGTGTGAAACTTTAGAAGTGTTTTTCTCAAAACTATTTTTTTTTAAACTGGTGACAACTGTAACTCGAGAACCGCTCGAGCTTATACAGCTTTTAGAATACTTAATAAAATCGGGCATGAAAGGTTTTATTTTTTTCAAAAATTTTGATTTTTTCCCAAAAATTTAGACAAAAATTTCTGAGACCGCCATTTTGTTAATCCGCCCGAGTTTATCTATTTATAAAACTAATTTTTTTTTGTCCGATTGATTTTAGATGAATCTCAACCTATGGTTGTCACCGCAAGTACCTTTTTTTGGAACTGGGTTAACACAAACAACTATGACTTTGGCAACAATTTTAATTTTTTTTTGAAATTTTCGTGACTTCAAGTCAACACATTCTATAATAATGCCATATTACTATTTTTGTAAAATAACACGATTTAATAGCAAACAATACTGAAAATTCTAATTTTTTCGAGCCTCTGACACCCCATCTACCGTGAGAAAAGCCTCCTCAACATCGCATATAAGGTTTTATCGAGCGTATTGTGCGAAAGATTAAAGCCCACCATCAACAAACTGATTGGACTTTATCAGTGTGGTTTTAGACCTGGAATATAGCACCCTGAGGTATGAGCAACACAAAATGCACACGGTCTGAAAATACAAAGCATTTTTACTTGAACAAGATTTTATCATTTTTATCGCGATTCGAAATTTTGTTTCAGGTTTCATTTTGCGACTTTTTCAATTGCATGAAAACCAAATTAAAACAAAATGCACTCAAATGACAATATAAATATGTAATATGTAGTAATCAGTACAATTATTTAGACAACTGGTCTTACAACGATTGTAATTTTTACAACTAATAATATTTTTGGCACAAAGTAAAAAGTAAAAGTAACCTCGTGTTGTGTATTAACAGAAGAAATAATGACTTTTCCCATTTTCAGAAGCAACATAATTTAAATTTGAGCACCGGAAAGAAATTTGATGACAGGCCGAATGGAAAATTTGGCATACTTATATAATTAGACGGTGTGCCGTCTCACTCAGCACATCAAAGCAAGTACATGTTACGCATCAGTATGACAAGCACACCAACTCGAACGCCGCAGTACCTTGCTCGATAATCGGCAAGTTCCATTCCACCCATTAATATTCGATTGCCCTGAATGCCTTGCAAGCCGCGGTCCAGTCTTCAATCGCTTACCTGTGCTTTTTTGTCCATTCGTCCCACACTATCAGTTACTATTGCAACAGAGCACCGCGACTATTACTTTTGCTGATGTTGCAAATGGGCATCCTGAAAGGTTCAGTGGGAGCGTGAATACCGACTGAGCGCTTCTGCCCCCACTAAACAAAGTTACAGCTATTCCAAAGGACGCCACAGCCAGCCGTCACTTTGTCTTTGTACATCTGTACCAACAGCAAGCTCAGCAAGAAAGTTTTGCCGCTACCCTCTGGAGCATTCAAGAAAAAAGCCACTTTGACAGCCACGGTTATTGTTAGTAAATTAATAATTTGCCTTTGATCCGGTAGTGAGAGGGGCTCTTTTTGGTTGACTGGAGTTTCCAAAGCCAAGGTATCATAACCAAGCTCTGTGATCAAATCAAGGGATACCTCTACCGTTTTTTATGGGAGATTCTGAAATCGGGCATTAAGTTTCCAATCATCGCAAAAATTGTATCCTCAGTTAGCTTCGTTAAAAACTATGTCCTCGTTGGCTAGTGTTATTCCTCGGCGAAAACTTTCTTCTGGCAAGGCTTTAAAATATCCGGGGTTTAGAGAGTCTTACATAGTCGCAAACAGCCAACTCAACGTAGTCTCTGACCGGAACAACTTGGCGTCAGTTATCGTTTCGTTTCATCGTGTACAACAAGATGGGTCACTTTTGGGTGTCTTTCATGTAAGACTAAACTAAACCTAGTATTCTTCATGCCGCTTCCTTACTACTTGTATATCGGGTGACAAGATAGGTGCATTTTCTTTGTTGTGAACTCACGCAGAAGCCACTTGTCACAGGTACTTCAATATTAATTTGTTTATTTTTTATACGTTGTATGGAATAACAGGGTCTTATTGAACAAACTGTTATGATAAAGAATGAATATATTAGATTTCAATATCTGTGATTTCAGATTGCTATTTTTAAATCACTGTGACTTTATATTGCTATTGTGATCGCAAGTAAAACAATGAAAATATGAAAACACTTGTACTCAATATTTATTTTTTAAATTCATCACATAAGCTTTCATATTTGGTTTAACAGTAAATAAAATTTAAATACAAATTAAAAAACTGATCATTTCTTAAATTAATAAACTTCTAAACTTAAAGCATGTTTTTAGCATTTGCATTTGCTATTGCGATCTTAAGTAACCCTATTAAACTGTTAAAAATCGCAATTTCAAATTTTTTTGTTGCAATCGCTATTCACAAAATCGAACTGCTATTACAATTCACAGGATGGAATTGCTGTGGCATTTCACAGAATCCGCAGAACTGCTATTTACAGAAAGTGAAAGTTGCGATATGCGGTTTTTCAATTGCAGTGAAAAAACCACTGGTAGTGAAATATCGCTCATCAATATAAAGAAGACGATACAAAAGTATTAATCTGCTGATTCTAAGTCACTTAATGTGTAATTTTTGAAATATTTCAATAATTATATAATAATGCAAACACACAATACCTTGGATGGAGTTAATCCTATTTGATAAATAAAGTTTGTATGCTTCATAACATCTTCCAACAATGTTTTTTGTTCATGAGGTGTTAAAGGCTGGCAAAAAGCAAGAGTTAAAAGGTGTTTAGAGTATGCATCAATGCAGTTCGAGTTATCATATGACACAATCTCATTACTGTCCCCTCTATTTTCAAACCAAATAAGTTCATCTTCGAAATCCATAAGCGGTGGAGCCAAAGACAAAACTTCAGGAGTAATTGTTTTTTTACTGCACAGAGTTCGACCAGTTATTGTGGATAAATTATCTGTTCTTGCCGGTAGCCAATGAAAATTAGTTGATGGTGTTACACAGCTTATAACACTCGACATTACGTTAATAGGGAGGTCGTTGGTATCTTCAAAGTCTACTCTTTTCATGGTGGTTAGGAGCCTAAAAATAAACCACAATAATTATATAGGTAAATTACAATTTTATATATAGTAAGTAAAACATAGGTATATAATTTAAGTTTATAGGAACGGATTAGGTTTCTTTGGTTACATAACACGGGTCAACACAAAATTTTACCACAACTTTAAAGCAGTAATTTGCCATTTTTTAGGTCTTAATTAGACGAAAAAATATATATATTCCATGAAAAAGTTTGCTTTTTTATTTAGGACACCGTTTTAACGATATTTTTTAAAATATGCATTTAATTGAAAATGAAATCACTTAAAGAAACATTTTAAATAAGTTTTACTATCAAAATAACTTACAAAAAAGTAAAAAGTAACTTAAAAGGGCACACTTTTACAAAAATATAGTCTCCCATCATATTTTCATTGTATTGGCCTTGATAACGTTGTTCGATGCTCATAATGTCCTGGTGAAAACGTTCTCCTTGCTCTTCTGAATACGCTCCCATGTTGGATTTGAATTTATCTAAATGAGCATGCAGCATATGTACTTTTAATGACATTCTGCAGCTAATGGCCGCAACATTTTTTAGCATATTTTTAACTAGGTTTTCGTAGTTTTCGGCTTTGTTATTTCCTAAGAATCCAGAAACGACTGCTTTGGAACTGTTCCAACTCGCTTTTTGAATACGATCCAGCAACGATGGAAATTTCTGATCGGCGAAAATCTGTCTGATTTTCGGACCAACAAAAACCCCGGCTTTAAAATTTGCTTCGGGTAACTTCGGGAAAAACTTGTTTAACTTATTCAAAAACTTCTGAGGTTTGATCCAGTTGTTTAACAAATTTTTTAATCAACCCTAACTTAATCTGCAGAGGCAGGATTAACACTTTTTCTGCTTCAACAATTGGCTCAAATTTTACGTTTTCTTTTTCGATACAAAGTTCTGTTCTTTCAGGCCAAGACCGTTGATACTACCCCACTAACTACTATCCCATAAGCACAAATAACACGGATACTTTGTATATCCGCTTTGTCCCATAAAAAAGCCCACCATTTTGAAATCTCCAATTAGCTGCCAGTTATACTCGCAATACTTTACAGATTCGAGCAAAATTTTAATACTTTCATAATTTTCTTTAAGATATACTAAGTGAGCTATTGGAAGAGATGGAAATTTATTTCCGTTATGTAATAAAGCAGCTTTTAAGCTTTTGTAAGAACTATCGATGAATAAACGTCATTCGCTAGAAACACAAAGTATGCCAATTTCTTGAAACAAACCGTTTATGTCATTGCAAAAACAAAGTCCATCTTCTTTTGTGAAAAATGTTGAGAATGTTTCATGCCTAGTCCGCTGATCCGTAATATTAACATCATCAAGCAAATTCCACTGTTTTAAGCGAGAGCCTAAAAGCTCTGCTTTACTTTTTGGCAAATTTAAATCTCTAATCAAATCATTAAAATCTTCTGTGGTGACGAAATGAGCTTTTGGTTGCTCTGCTGCCGGTAAAAACTCCTTATCGGAATTACTTCTATGAGAACTAAGAGATAAGCTACTATTTTGCGATAATTTTATCAGTGGTCAGGGTTTTCAAGGTCAGGATATTCGATAGGTTTTGCATTTTTACCTCTACGCCTTTTACTCGGATTCACAATGCAAAAGTAGCAGTCGTTAACGTGAATTTTTGGTTCTCGCCAGATTCTTGGTATTGCAAATTTCATAAACCTTTTCTCACCTCGATACCAACCTAACATATAAAAATAGAAATTAATATGCCTATTATATTTAATTCACCGTTTATTGAAAATTTCTTTACCTTCTAAACATCTTTTACAATAACTAAAAGCAACATGTGGAGCCCATGTCTTGTCTTGATTCCGAACAGGGCAGTCAAAATATGCTTCGTAGGCTTCATAGAGAACGTGAGATGCTTTTAGTTCATATTTTATATCTCGAACTTTAATAAATTGCCCACACATATAACAAAATGCATCAGCCTCATATTTTAAAATGCACACTTTTACTTTTTGTTCATATTTACTATCTCTTAATAAACCCCAAATATAGTATTATTACTATAACTTTTACAAAAGCAAACTTTATACGAAAAAAATGTATTTTCTTATCGTTTTTGTTCATAATTAATCAAAAAATCCTAAAGTAAACTTTAGGACAAAGAACGAAATTTTTTTGTAGAGTCGTGTAATCTACTTATAGTCGTAGAAGTGGGGTGTAATGGGGCATAGTCACAGAGTAAGCAGTTAGAGCCGTAGGCCTGTACCCAATTCCTACTCTTGCGTACTTGTTGTTGTAACGAGTATCTAATCCCGTTAGGATGGTAAGGGTTGCTAAGAAGTCGTTGGGGTCGGACCAAAGGGAGCAGGGTGTCAGATGGGTGTGGTTAGTGGGACATGTGAAGAGGTGGCCAGTGTCATGCGAAGACTCATTGCACGTGGAACATATTTATATTAGATATGTAGGGTTTATTCTAGACAGTTAGGAGTTTAATCTGCTAGAGTGATTATAACAACCCTTGATATGTCACAATTTTAAGTAAGAATTGCGCAAAATATTCTAATACAGTAAACTACAAGAAGTTAAATCGAAGTAATACAGTGTTATCATTTTTATGACTCCGATTTAAATAATAAATACAATATAAATAGTGATTTAACAAGGTTGGCAGAGAAAAGCACGAATGTTGATGAAATGGACTTTACTTTAGTATGTATATTTTAAGCAATTTAATACTTGGTTTGTGTTTAGCTAATAGGTTGTACGGGGTTTTGAAAACTCATATACAAATTTTTATTTTCAAGTTTTTAACGTATGCAACTCAAGGTAGGCATAGCTACTTTGATAAGTGAAAGTTTGAAATCTACAGAAAATAATAAGTCTGGTAATACTACATGCGAATACAGGCAATTGACAAGTGATGAAGCATTAGCTTATTATAAACAGACGCGAAAATGGTCTTTGAAGGCGGTACATAAAGTTTTTCCATCCTATTTTAGTTTACGTAAGTCTAAACATATCTTGGTAACAGAAACTAGCTGTTTGTTTTTACTATTGTTCCATTGAGTGACGATGCCAACCAAAATATTTTATGCCAAATGTAATGGGCTTTTAAACATATTTCTACGCATTTCAACCAATGATAAACGCGTTAATTAATACGGGATTTTCTACGAACACACCTATTATTGTTATTGGAATTGTCTCTATTTTATACGTTCAAGTAAATGTTATTATATGTTCTGAAATTTAAAAACAAAAAAATTATTAAATATATTTCTTACACAAATTTTTGTGTTTTAATAGTAAATCTAAGAAAATATATTAATTTATTATATGAAACTTAAAATAATCGATCAACACGACCAAAACAATTAAATTTTAAACTAATATATTTTTGTCCCCCTAACTTGTATTAAACTGTTGGCCGGCCTTATAAGTTGCCAACAACGTTTCTTTGTCCCTTCTCCATGTGCTGCCGACTAGCGACGTGAGGATTTTATTGCGGTTTTGTACTTTGGCGAGCCCAGATGCTTTAGAATCAGCATGTTGATTAAACCACGCCCAATGTATTTATACGATTTCGCCTTATTATCGACACTCTGAATACCCCCTTCGATGAAAGTGTAGCGCAGTTTTTTGGCATTTTGCGCAACTGTCGGGTGTAATGGTGTAGTGTAAATTGCCGGCTTAAATAGCTCGCGCACTTCTTTGTGTCCGAAGAGGCATGGCCCCATTGAACTGAATTTCAACTGGGTCATCATATATCTTTGGATTAGACAAAGCCTTGACAGTAGTCCAAGGCTTACTTACACTGGTGGAGAGGTTACAGGATTTCAAGTGCTCTATCCATTTCGCCCGCTTTATTGGCTCACCATTCGCCCAATCTCCAAATTTAGATCCCTTATCCGGGGACCACAGGGATTGGAATGGCGTAAGGTATCGAGCTTCTTCCAGTCGGGATGAAGTGAGCGGCTACTGCTACGATTACCTTGCGGAATTTACGTTCGCCCACGATTACGTATGTAGGAGTGGATAAATCGGTGAAGGCGCTCTCAGTAAACTATGTGGAGCTGACCGGTTAACCTTTAAAGTTAACGAATGTGCGGTTGTCCACAGAAATGAACTCGGGAGGTTTCCTTATTGAGATAATTATTGGCAGATGGTCTGTTGCGAGAGTTAGCATAGGGAGCCAGGATAACCTATTTATTACCACTAACAATGGTAATCTCGAGTGAGCTATTACTGGTGCCCATAATTCTGATGAGGCTTCGTCTTCATTGTGCAGAATAACGAATCGACTACCTGTGTCGTCAGCTCCTACCCACTAAGATTATTCAACAGGCAGGAATGCCAAAGATCGTGGTGTGTGTTAACAAAAAAAGGAAATTCATCAAGCTACTTGGCTATCTCTTGAAATGTTTGTAACCAGATCATTCATGTTGTGATAAATGAACGACACTCCTCCAGTGTTCTTGGCGTGGGTACGCTCCAAGAACCTAACATTTACTGGGACCACTATCTTGTTGTAGCGAAGATACAAACATAGGGAAGGTACGACCTCGAGAAGCTAATAATAACTGTCAGCGAAGGGGTTTTCTACTCGACTTGCACTCCTGCTTTCAGAATCAGAACTCAGTATAAGCTTAGGTACAGCTGCAAATGAAACCATTGCTTTTCGTAAAGCTCGAAGGAAGAGATGGTGTGATGAGAATTATCGTGTTACAGTAAGGAGGTAAACCAGACAGACTACCTGGCAATGTTGCGGTCGCCCACAACATGAGGATAGATATCGAGATTTAAAGAGGGAAGCGAGATGCATATGTACACAAAAAAGTCCTAAATACGTGAGTATGAATAGCTTCGGATTCTAGCCGACAGGGGTTCTGCTAGAAAATTTCTACAAAAAGATGCGGTGACTAACGGAAGGCATCAAGACTGCAGCATACTTTTGTAGGACCCAAAGAAGTGATCTAGTGGCTGATGTTCAACGCATGCTGAAGCGATGAAA